GTATTGAAACGAGTTAAAATTAATAAGTAATACAATAAAATGTACTCAGTTATCGAAACACAGAAAGGAAAACCATGTTTACTATTTAATGGCTATCGGTATTTGAAAGATAGAACGCGTAATAATAGAATTAAAGAAATAAAAAATGACTACGCATTCAATGTAGCAAGTGTGAAGCAAGGTGCGGCTCAACAAAGAAAAGTACCACGGCGGAAAATTTATGTAATCAGAAATGCATGGATTTTGGATTTAATGGAACGTTATAAAAAAGGCACATTAACTAAGGATGATTATCTATCAAAAATTAGTAAAACAATTGGTGAAAAACATAAGAAAATACCAATAACAGATGAACCAACAATAGCTCTGTAAAGTTTTCTGTGAACTATACTACTATTTTTCTACTCATGTATATGCATAAGGTTAATTACAGAAGAAAAAGTATCGACAATTAAGGAATTGTCGGTAGCCTTTGATCCAGGTGTGTCGGCTTTTCAGGAAAAATAAACTGTCGACAAATCGGGATTAAACAGTGTGTCGACCGTTCGGGAAAAAACCAGTGTCGACAATTAAGAACAATTAAGAGCCTGTCGACCAATCGGGAATACACCCAATACAGCTATTATCTCTATTTAATCGATGTAAAAACAAGAGAAAGATAACAACTCGTCAACTGACGAAGAGTACGATATTGGAGGGGGAGGGGGACGAAGGAGAAGAAAAAGAAGTGCAAAAAATAACCTTTAGACAATGTGATTGTTCATTCATCTTTGTAAAATATTTATTTTGTTTCTATAACTTGAAATCTATTCCCGTTACATTAATTCCACTCTTATCTGGTCAAATTCCAGATTTCACTAGGGATAAGTGGACTCGGCATATGTTCAGTTTTCTCTAGGAAAAACTTGATTCCAGTTTCATCTAGTCAAGTTCTAAATTTCACCAGGAAAAACTCGGATTTCACTTTTACCTAGCGAAATCTCGATTTTCACTGGAGAAAACTGGAATCGAGCATGTGCACACACATGCATCTCAGTTTTCGCTAGGGAAAACTCGTATTCCAGTTTTGCCTAGCGAAATCTAGAATTTCACTGAATTCCAGTTTTCGCTACAACATATATATATATATATCTATAGGATATCATACGCCACGTGTATGTTTGACGATACTAACGTTTTTTCTCATTTTAAACGAGACGAAAAACAGTGCCTGTTATATAAGGCACTTTATTTCTTAAAGTAGACTACTTTTATACTCGAACTTTTTGCAGTTTATATCTGCTTTTTGAGCTTTTTTAAAGTAGAACTTAATCACTAAAATAACCAATTTACCGAGTAAGTACACAGCAGTTGCAGTGAGTGACAGAATAAGGATATATAGAATCCTTTCTATTTACTGTCGCACAGTTGCCGTTTTTCATTCATTTTGGGTATCAAAAATCGTTCTTTCTCATGAAATGCACCAAATTTAGGAGATTTCTTAGTATATAGACTCAGTTAATGTTTGCTGTGTAAAGATCTCAAAAATAAAACTGCACAGAAGTGAGAAATGCATGAAAGATTGATGCTATAACAATTGTGAGTATCCTCGGTGTAATATCGCTTTGCCGTTAGTGACTCTCCGGATGTAGCGATGATCAGTTCGGTTCTGTTTGACGCACGGAGGATTGGGGCTCAGTCATTCCGCCTCATTCGCAGAATATTAGATTGGCTCTAATAACTAACTGATCCTAGCAATAATATCTACGGATATACATTCTCTAAAAGTCCAAGCGTGAATGTTTTCTTCACATATGGCAAACGTTACCTTACGATAAAACTCACAGGCGAGCTATAAAACCCCAGGTCAACTATCTTACAAAAATCGCGACGTGACTCGCGATGAAAAGTCACGGCGTGAACGCGTCACGCGAATAGCAGTCTAGCCGCTAAACGTGACGCTCTTACCGCGCTCGCTATAAATTCGTGATGAAGTGGAATTTCTGCTATATTTTCGCTAGACTCGCGGCGTGACTCCCTAAGTCGCTATATGAGTCCCAATTTCTATCCATTAAACTAGAGTGAATCTTCATTCTCGCTATAGGAATCCCTATGTCGCGACGTGAGTCCTACATTTTATGAACAAAAATCAGCGCGACAGACTGTTCTCGCTACATGAGTCCCATAGTCGCTACGTGACTCCTATGACATGAATCCTACTTTCGCGGAGCGAATTTTTTCATTCTCGCCATTTTACTTGTTTTAGCATAAAACAGAAAGATAAGCATCAGGAAAAGAGTAATATCAGAAGTTTGCATTGCAGAAAGTTAGCATCCAGTTTGGCACTTAAGTGCACCATGTTTTACCGGCTTACTCTTCGGAACATGATGCACGTAACAAGTACACAGTTATTTCAAAACAGCATATCTGGTGGAAAGTGACGAAGTCCTTTCGCCTTTTCTATTGTTACAAAGTTGAACTAAATCGTTTTTTTGAAGTATGGCTCAGTCAGAAGGTATTTTGGAAAATCAAATTCGAAAGTGAATGCCTCAAGATTATCATCAGCTGTTGATCCAGCGGTATCCATCTATATTTTTCAATTCTGATTTGCCATGAGACTGGAATTAGATCTCAAAATATACATGAAATAGATTGATATCGTATTGCTCGTCTATCGTTTTACCGTAAGGAAACGTTTGCTGTATGTGATGAAACATCACGCTTGTACTTAGAGAGTATGTGTATTCGAGAAATACTAACGCTATGAACAGTTCGTTGCTGGAGTCGAGAGCTAATCTAGCATCCTGTGAATGAGGTGCTCTGGAACTATGCCACTATCCTCTGTGCGTCAAACAAGACCGAACTGATCTTTCCTACATCCTGTAAGTCCCCAACAACAAAGCGATATTACACCGAGGAAACTCATATAGAGACGATATCAACCATTTGGTGCATTTCTCACTTTAGTGCATTTATTTTGAGATCTTTTAACACGGTCCACATGCTAATTGAACCTATATAAGCGAATTTCTTAGATTTTATGCATTTTCTGACAAAGGTAGTCCAGTTTTTGACTTTCAAAGCTGTTAGGAGAAAAACGGTTCAACTTTGTAACAAATGTAGTAAAAACGAAAGGGCATATTTTTTTTTCTACTTCCACACCCTGAAATTGCTGTGTACTTACTACAATTTTAGTTATGTATTATTTAATATTTCAAACTTATATAGTAAAACAAAAAATAAAAAGCAGTGCATGGCTGCAATAGACTACACGATAAAGTGATCTTAACACTGCGATAACAAAAACAAAATGACTATTAAAAGAAAATATACACGTTGTGTATACAATAGGTTAAAGATAAAAGAAGAGAACAACGTAACCATGAGCACAGCACACACAACATAATCGTGGCCTGTTCTTTCTTTTTCTCACTATGTGTGTGTTATGTAAGTTCAGAAAGATAATATAAAGTATAGCACAGAACAGTCAAGACTCGCGACGCGACGTTTTAAAACTCCTCTACTTAGACCGCA